ATGGATTTTACAACGAGTAAATGGTTAAAAAAAACAAAGTTTAAAATTCATTGTATTTCTTGAATCCTGACCGAAATAAATTTGAATATTGTCAATTTTTAATTGTTTGACATGGACAGGAATGATTTTTAGTTTCAATAAGCATAATTTGTTGTCACCATCAACATAAGGTACCAATAAGTCCCTTATGTTAGAACATGTACTTTTTTTCATTTTTTTCTTCTTAAAGAAATACAAGTACATGTATGTACTTTTTTTATCCTCCTTTTTTCTAGAAAATGTAAAATTGAAGCTGTCAAACTAATATCAGAATTTGAAAGGGTCACAATTAATAAAAAAAAAAGTCAATGACGACGATTTAGGAGTTCACCCTTATATTTGTACTGCATGTTTTCGCATTGGTATTTGCAGTACAGATAGAAATCACAAATTATTAGAAACGAAAAAAAAAAAGAAAAATTCAAAATCAAAAATAAGTATTCAAACATGTCAAATTCGAAGTCATATTTTCATTAAACATCAAATTAAAAAAATTCTAAAAAGAACTTAATGAATAGGTTGAAACTTCGAAAAGTCAGCGAATGCATTCAATCGAAATTGAATTATTTCATCAATAAATATTACAAACATTAAAACACAAAAGAATAATTAATATCGACAGTTTAAGTCCCTGCAATTTTCAACAAACATTAGAAAAGTAACAATATCATGTATAATAGTAAACCTAAGCATTACTGTTCTTTCTATTCAGAATTTTAACCAGCAATCAAATATCTACAATACAAAAAGGAGCTTTTGAAAACCTACCAGCGCTCTTTCTTATGTATGTATAACGTTTTTGATATCTTAACCGGAAGTACAATGAAAAAAAGCATCCGCAGTCATTCGTCTGAAAAGTGAAAAAAAAACAATAAGATGATTTTGTATGATTGTCAATGAGACAATTTTCAACAAATCTAACGTTATTGTAAGCTATACAGGTCACAACATAACACATATAAAACAATCCAAACGGAAAAACTAGCTCCTAATTTGGGGCAGGGACATACGGAATTTGACGTGATTAAGCATGTTTGTTGATATACATTTTGTAATTTGTATAATTTTAGATGGTAAGATAGAAGTAACTAAACTCTTTTGTAAACAGTTTCCTTTTTAAATTGTTAAACAATGCCTTTATTTGTTATGACATCTTACTTAGTTTACTAATTAGTGTATTGAAATTAAAGTGAAAGACGATTTATATATATATATACATTGAAAATTATGGCTACATTAGATAACATGTACACAGATTTATCAAGTGCTATTCTATTTGGAAGAAAACTTTCGACATGGTTTAAACTGAATCGTGGTGTGCGTCAAGGCAGTACTTTGTCTGCCATGTTATATCTGATCTTTATTAACGATTTGATAAATGAACTCGAATCTAGCAACAACGGGGCATTCTTATATGACATTAATAGTAGTTCTCCCGTTCAGGCTGATGACATTTCTCTCATTGCCACAAATCACGAATACGCTCAAATAATGGTAACAATATGTGAACAATACAGCGAATCATTGAGCTTCTCATTTTCAACCGCGAAAAGCAAACTTCTTCAATTCGGCAAAAAACTAACAGTGTCAGATATATTCCTATACAACGAACTTATTGTATCAGTTAAAAGTGCAAGACATGATGGTATTTCACTGGACACTTCGATGAAAACCATGGATCGTACATTAAAAGCGTGTCGAACCTTAAACGCAAGAACCGCGTCTGTGATTCGCTCCGGTATTCATCTTGCTGTACTCAACCCTATAGTGTGTGCAAAGATTATTCGCAAAGTATGCTACCAAAAAGTTTTTACGGATGCGAGATTTGGGGCAAGCTGTTTAAAACAGAAACACTTATGTTAGAACAAACCCATCACTATGTATGCAAGTTCATTCAAGGATTCAAGGATAGCCTAGACGTACACGAACTAATATGTGCCTTTCTCTTATTGGTTGGTTTAACATAGACAGTTTTATTAATGAACGCAAGTTATTGTTCTTTGGACGAATTTGTAACTAACCACAAACGTACGTATACTTTTTGAACTCAAGTATTTCAATATCCAGTACATCAATTGTGCATCATATTTTTCCAAAGACTGTGTGGATTTACTCTACAAACACCATTTATCGGACTATTTAACAAAGTTTATGACTAGCGGAACTTTTACGTCTCACCGTTTATGGAAGCGAATAGCTCACAGACCTATTTTTGTATATAAACTAAAGGAATGGCAACTAAGTATAAATATAGATAGTGACTTTAACATATTCAATAAGATACATAACATATTCCAGCCTCATCCTGATGGACGGTTGCGTTCGGCTTTCCGTATTTGCGTAAATAGGCAAATTACTTATTATCCCTGTGTTGTTTGGTTCACAATACGAACAGTGATATTAATTTAGGTGATAAATGTGGTAAACTTTTCACCGATCCGTGTATTCACGCAATTTTGTCGTGTGACTATTTATCCGACATTCGGGATGAATTCTGGTTCGAGTTACTATGTATACACCCAATTCATTTAAGTGCTTTTCTTGGTTCCTTAGCTGATGAAGATTTCTGTTATATTTTACTGTCATGCGAAACAGAATTCGAAAAAGACTGAGCAGAAAAAACGTTTTCAATTTTTATGCGTCACATATGTTTACAAATTTTGCAAAACATTTTCTCATTCCTAATTAACAATGTGAACTAAGTCTAAAGAACTTTGTTTTTCTTTTTGTTTTTGTGTTCATCTGTTCAAATTTGTGTATATTGTGTATGCATTAATATTGTATTCGTATCATCATCTCTCAAAAAGGGAGGCTAATAAAGATAAATATATATATATTTATATATATAGCGAAGCGTAGGTGGTCGTGTGGTCTAGCGCGTCGGATACAGTGCAGGCGATTTGGTGTCACGATATCTCAGTAGCATCAGTTCGAATCCAGGCGAGGGAAGAACAAAAAATTTGCGAAAGCAAATTTACAGATCTAACATTGTTGGGCTGATTTTTAGACGAGTTGTATATACATATATATATATTATATATATTACGTAATATTAATTATGTATTTTGAAATACTGTATATTTGTGTACCATGAATATCTTCCTTGAGGATTGAAACCTGTAGGAAAATATGAGCAATGTAGACAATGTGAACGATTATCATGATTATTAATACAGCGCTTTATAGGCATTTTTTGTTATAGATATACAATGATCGGTTAAATATAGGCAACAGTAGTATACCGCTGTTCGAAATTCATAAATACATACAATGTTAGAAAAATAGCAATGAAATATTTTTTCATGAAACACTACCATTTTATCTTTTTAGAACTTTGGACCACAATAAATTAACTATAATACAAACAGGAGCGTTTGCAGACCTACCAAGGCTCCGTAAACTGTATGTATTATTAATGTTACAAAGCCTAAATCTTTTATTCCATAGAAAATACAAAAATACCTAGGAGAATTTGGCACAACATTTTGGAATTTTGGGTCCGCAGTGCTCTTCAACTTTATATTTGTTTGGCTTTCTAACTATTTTGATCTGAACGTCACTAATGAGTCTTATATAGACGAACGAGCGTCTGGCGTATCAAATCATAAGCTTGGTACCTTTGGGTAACTATTAGGAGTAGGGAATGTTTACTGTTAAATATCTTATGAAAAAAACATCGCCTTAAATTAGTACGTGACAGATTGCATTATGGAAACACATATGTAACCATAGAATGTAAAGATAAAAAAAAAATTGGGAGAAAAGATTACATGTAATAGCATGTAAATTTTATTTTGTTTAGTCGATAGTTTAATATGGTTTATTTTCTAGAAATATTTGCTGAATGTTCAGATACCTTTTCATAAATGGATTGTTTTTTTAATTTTCTCTTATAGCAGTTCTAAAAAAAAAGATAGTACACTACTTTTCATAAAACACTTAAATTTGGAAAACAAATCATAACAATTCATAACATTCCTTTTTTGCGGGACATTCGGTCAATAAGAATTTTCCAATAAAATGACATTACTCGACATAACCAACCTATCTTGTCGAATCTTGGCCCATTGCATTGAAGGATGACGAAGAAAAGCAAACACTGAATGACTTGTTGGCTCGTTGAATACAATACTTTGTTGGAACACATGCTTTTATGAAATTAGCTAAGCTACTATTTTAATTCTTTGCATATTTTGTATTAAATTTGGGATGATTTCATGGACAACAATGGTCTGTTCATCCGTCCATTCTTCCGTTCTGTTCAAACTATAACACGTTTAAAATTATATACCAAATTAGAGTTTGACCCGGATTAAGTGGTGTACTGAACATGACAATATGATCATAGTCAGTGTGTATTAAGGCCACACATTCTTGATGCAAATATTTGTATTAATACAAGAACATGTACATGTACCTTCCATCTTAATAACTGTCTCTGGTCTCGCGCTTGCCTCGATATTAACCCCTAACAAGTCATATGGTCAGTATAGGTCTTTTTCCGATCGGCAGTTATACCATTGCCTCAATGAAGAGACAGTTTGGTTTTAAGGGGTGTACAAGTACGCAGTCGTGTTTTATCTTGTTGAGAGATAACACGCTCTCTACACATTAATTATTTAGTTAGTCATGGATTATTTACCACTGGACGTTAATCAACCAACTAACATTCAATCGAAAATAGCGTAACTTGACTGTGATTTATGTCGAAGCAAATTATTTAAATCTTGTTAGTCAAAGCCTTACTTTGGTTTAAAGACGCCAAAAGTAATACGGAGTGCTCAAATCGTACGTATGCTAGATATGGATTGTCATATCAATCAATATAGACATCAAACATCAGAAATGGCCAACATTACACATTTATATAAATGCGACTGTCAACAAGCTTTAGATTGAAAATAACAATGCAATCTATTATATAAGATAAAAACAGAACTATTCTTCCATTCTAGAAATTTGGAATGGAGTCAAATAACTACTTTACAGCAAGGAACGTTTAAGGGCCTACCAGCACTCAATAATATGTATGTATACAATTATTCTGCAAATGGTTTCCAAGGGGTGTACATGGGGGAGGGGGGGTGGAAGTAAACCTATGTGTTTTTTGGTATTCAAACGTTGTATAAATAGTAATTTTACGGAGCAGAAACATAAATTATATATCATGTCAACACAACAATGCTGACTATTAGACAAATGGTAATATCGTAGATGAAATAGGTCAGTTATATGTTCCTTTGGCATACAAACCATAGATGAAGACATATATCTTCCTTCAGTGTATTGAATATCTAAATTAAATAAATGTCCGTACAGACACGAATATGTTTCTTGGTCTTCCAAGTGCTCCGCAAAGCCCATTTCTTCATTACTAACATGAATTATATCAGCAAGACTAGTCTTTCTTTAAAATGATTATGAATCAACATATTGTAGATTCATCTTCTTTGTGTCTGTTTGTTTTGTTAACGCATCGTTGTCAATATAAAGGAATTTGATGCGACTGTCGTACAAGTGAGAGGTTTAGCTAGCTATAACACCAGGTTCTACATAGGAAAATGCCTTTACCAAGTCATTAATTATGATATTTGTTTTCCATTCATTTGATGTGCTTGAGCTTTTGATTTTGGCATTTGATAGGGTCTTTCCTTTTTGAATTTTCCTCGGAGTTCAATATTTTTTTTATTTTACTTTTTTTTCTCCATGGACATTTGAAAATTCCAAAGATGTGTTGGTGTACATGCAATATAAGGCTCTTTTATATGGCCATAGAATTAACACGTTTGACCTTTCGACTTTTAACACGGCATTCCCCATTTTTCTTATGGAAAACGAAACGAAGCTGGCATTATCCTTTAACTTCGCTTTCAGCTATATAGATAATGTCCTTTCACCAAATAATTTAAAGTTTGCTATCATAATTTTCTTTGCTAAACGCAAGAATTAAACCAAGAGTTCCAAGTTGTGACGAAGACTAAATCACACCTTCGAAAATTTAAGTGATGCCATCTCCAGTTCGTTGACTGTTGTGGAGTATGTGTTTCAAATATGGCGACTGATAGGTTCTTATCGTCGAAACAATAATATCGTCCTCTTACTCCTCAAATGTGATCTACTGAACTAGACTAACCACGTATTTGTACTATTAAAACAAAACGATGGGTGCTACATGAGTATACGAATTTACTGAACTTTCAAGAGCACACTCAAACTCATCAGTCGAAAATAATCTTACAACGTCATAGCTAAAAAAAAAAAAAAAAAAGACCACAAAATAACCATTTAACCCCGCCACATTCTGTATGTATGCTTTTCGTTCATTTTTGTACATAAATTAGGCCAATAGTTTTCTAGTTTGAATTGTTTCACATTTGCCATTTCGGGACCTTTTATAGCTGACTATGCGGTATTGGCGTTGGTCATTGTTGAAAGCCGTATGGTGACCTATAGTTGTTAATTTCTGTGTCATTTGGTCTCATGTGGAGAGTTGTCTCATTGGCAGTCATACCACATCTTCTTTTTTAAATGTATTTTTCACAAGACTTTTGCAATAATAACTATTTAAAAAAAACGCACCATCTTATACAATAACGCTGCATTAAACTTTGCATTACGCAATTGTGGTATTGTGTTTGTTCATTGTTTATAATATTGTCTTTGCATTTTTCCTTATTTTCTGTGTCTATACATGTATGCTGGGTTTTTTTTCTATGAATCTCTATCTTGTAATTTTTATAATTTGTTATAGTGACTAAGATTATAACACAAAAAACTGAAGAAAGCTATTCCGAAACAGTGGACCAATATCATCAAAAACTCACCATCTAAACATACTCAAGTCAATATAAATATAAATATAAATCTTAACATCATAAACAAAAAACCTGTTCAAACCCTAAATAATCATGACACTTATAACTTCTTACTTAAAACAAAAGAAATGGAAACACCTATTGGCTTTTTAAAATGGAAATCTTATTTAACACTAGAAAATACTAATCTAGCATATGAAACATTAAAATTTATCTTTACATTTTTAGATGATACTAGATATGAAAATTTAGATGGAAACTGCTTCATTATATACTTCCCTGTAATAAATTATTAAAACAATGGCATATAATAGAAACAGATACTTGCTCAAACTGTAAAAAAGTAGAGAATTATGAACATTTCTTCCGCAAATGTTCATGTTTTGAATTATTCTTGAAAAAAAATACAACAAATTCTTGCGAAATTAAATATTGGAAGACATGTTATTAATTTGAAAGGCATAGCTTTGGGATATAAAATATATGATAAAGAGTATTATGAACTCAATTTACTTTTAATTATTATCAGTTACAGCATATGTAAAGTATACTATATGTCTGACAAAAAAATAAAAGATATACAACCAGTCAAAATATTAAGACAAGAGATCGGAAATTTTATTGAAATAAGAAACTTTTTAGGATATAGGATATAAGATTGGCAGACTATTAAAGCAATTTAATGAACTGAATGTCTTACTTGAAATATGATATTATGAATGATGACTCTGAAAAAAATAATACCTTACTCAAATATTGAGAGTATACTGTAATTTTCTTCAAACATTGTACAGGTATGTCTACCTGTTTATGTACATACATGTAAATTATAGTGTTTATCAATTGTGATTAGAGATTTGACTGTATTTTTATACAACAATCAACAGCAGTTTTATTCTTATTGTGTTATCATGGTTATTATTTGTATTATATTATTCGTCTCTTTTTGTTGTTGTCCACTAAAAATTTACTAGTTTAATGTTATTCAGGATATAAGGATCTAGTATGACAAGAACACTTAGTAAATGAAAATTACCTTCAACTGAATGATCTGATAAAATAGCATCCGATTTTACTGTAGATTTATTTTGTAAAACACACATGAATTTCAAACGAATATTCACAACAGGAAAACATAACGGCATATTATTAATCCTTTCAAAACAAATATTTTGGAAAAATTTCTTGAATAATACACTAATGTATATTCCATATAAAGCACTACAAGTGTTATCTAGCTACTTTGTCAACAAAGAAACTAGTATAAGAAATCATTCAGGGGAAGACATGAATTATATCCGGATTAATAAAAATGTGTGTACTAACATAATTTACCATAATAGATGTTCTATACTAATGATAACGAGGCCGGGATAAGTTACCGGTATTTGATGTATCTATTAACAAATGTAAATATGTTAATAAAATTTATTTTTAAGAAAAAAAAAAAAAAAAAAAAGATTATAACACAATGTTGACTGCTGTATCCCAATATTTGACATTTTTACCTGAATCTTTGTTTTGTTTACACATTGTTGTCAATATAATGGAACTGTATGCGACTGCTATAGAAGTGAGAGGTTTAGTTTGCTATAAAACCAAGTTGTATCCACCATTTCCTAGATAAGGAAATGCCTGTACCAAGTGAGTAATATGACAGGTTTGTATCCATTGGTATGATGGGCAGGAGCTTTTGATTTTGTGTTTTGTAAAGGAACTTTCTTATTTGAATTTTTCCATGGAGTTCGATATTTTTTTTTAAATGACCTTTTGGAACTGCAGATTAAAATAACTACGTAGTCGTTTTTGTCTCTTAATTGAAAGTAACATTTCTGTTGTTTAATTTGAACTTGATATCCGCCTTTTATTTAAATATAATGAACAAGTATCAGTGATTTTCTACCTGAAGATAGTTTTGCATTAATGATTAGAAAACTGCTGTTTTTTTTTTTCAAATGTTTTGCTTATGATAATGTATGGCATAGTTATCCCTTTGTTGTATTTGCCTTTCAATATAGCACTGTGAATATAAACCACTTTCGATGGACTATATACTATGAGCTAAGTAGTTATTGGGTACTGACATGATTTTAAATCAAATATTGACAAATATAAAATCAACAATAAGTAGTCGAAGTCGCAGTCGTATTTCCTTCAAGGAAATATTGTGAATGTGGAAAAGAAATGTATAACACTGGTCGTACATTAAAAGCATGGTAAATATAACCTCAATGCCTCTAAAAACTTAGCTTTTGGTCATTTGCTACGAGTTAAGATGAACTGCTTCTTCAGAAAATTTTTTATTCTTGGCTTTTCTTGTTACATATACAACCGGAGATCTCAAGGTTTTTATTCAACAGGTCCTAATGAATGTACCCAGTGAAGAACTTCGGTTTGTTTTTATACAGAAAATGGCCTATCCCAAAACATAAAATGCTAATTGCAATATGAAAACACTCAAGGAAAGACAAGGTTATATATCTAAGAATATATAAATGATATAAGAACAAATACCAGGAAAGTGTCGAACATGAACAGTTTAAATCCTCACGACTTTCCAAACGCTTCAAGGATGTGAATATGCATGATATATGCTGAATTCTACAATTCCGTAGCATAACACGAATGTTTATCTATTCTACATTGGCTAGAGGTATAGGGGGAAGGTTGAGATCTCACAAACCATGTTTAACCCGCCGCATTTTTGCGCCTGTGCCAAGTCAGGAGCCTCTAGCCTTTGTAAGTCATGTATGTTTTTTTTTTAATTTTAGTTCATTTATATGTTTTGGAATTTAGTGTGACGTCCATTTTCATTGAACTGGCACACAATTGTGTTTAGGGGCCAGCTGAGCACAACCTCCGGATGCGGGATTTCTTCGCTGCGTTGTCTGGTCTTTGGTCCGGTTGTTGTCTTTTTGACATATTCCCCATTTCCATTCTCAATTTTTGTTTGTTTACAGGTTTTGGGATTACAGTCAAATTACTACTATACAAACTGGAGCGTTTGAAAACCTAATAGCACTCACTACTCTGTATGTATACAGTTTAATAATTATTTATACAGAAAGAAGAATAGAACACCGAGAATCATTCGATGACAATAACTAATGAATGAGCATCGACCGACCAGTATTCACTGAAATTAGCAATAAAGAAACACATGAATAGATTTTAAAGATGTGTTAACAGTATTTCAAGAGACATGACAATTTTGTTAAAACGTCGATGACTCCAAACTTTTATAAAAAATAATTCAAGAAAATATGATTTTGCGTTGCATTATATTGACACACATTCGGAGAAAATAAGAAATAAACTTCAAATGCAGATAGTGCTTTGATTTTATTCATTTAGAGATTAGCTGAAACACAAGATTACATTTCTTAAATGTTACACAAAATTCCTTATCGTCCTACTTAACAGTGCACAAGCAGATCTAATCGACAAAAATGTACATTGACCTACACACGTTTCTTATAAGAATCCGATAAACTTGATAAAAAAAGTCTACAAATCATGGCTGGGAGTTGTCAACTAAAGCATTGGGTTTATTTTTTTTTCGTTAAATATTCTGTCGTTAATTATATATCTTTAACTTTAGGGTCGTGTATTACAAACTAATAAGCAATCCCATTATCGTAATACATCGAGCTATTCATGTACGTTTGTCACTTTTTAGAAACTCTGTGGTAAACCAACACATTACAATTATTTCTTTTTAGAGTTTTATGGAACAGACAAATAACTACAATACAAACAGGAGCATTCAAAGACCTTCCAGCACTAACCACCCTGTATGTATAAAGTTTTACTTTTATTCAGTAGCAAAAACACATTAGTGAAGTTTTTTTCTGTTTGAATAATCATTTCCTGGGTCTAGGTAAATCTTTTCAAAAGTTGTTGTGTACTGTCGGATCGTGTACAACATATAATCAACACCACAATTGAACAGCGTTTTATTTAAAGAAATAAACAATTTCCTAATATAAATTCAGCTGCCACTAATTGAAATTCACCTTTAAAATTAAGCATTTTTAACAATTATGTTAAAGAAGGCAATGAATCTGCGGCTATATAGTTCAAACAAATAAACACTTGCATATCCATACATATTCCCATGAAACACCAGAAAATGGCATACCTGCTCCAGATTATCTTCAGATACATTATGTAATACCGTTGGGTGATAAGTGAATGGAAGAACCTTCTCTTTCACATTTTCATATGACATTACTTGAAAAATCCAAAGCCTTATATATTTTGTAACATGAACAAAACCGAAAAGTAGTATTCAATATGTATGTTGAACTGGACTTCAATTTTTGAAACGAACACATGAACATCTATGCCACTTCTGCAAAATCTAAGAAATGCAAAAGTTTAGTTTAAAAACATTTAGAAAAGCACAACTGTTTAAAAAATGATAACAAAACGTTTCATAATGTCGTTTCAGAAGTGCTTTTCTTAATTTTTTCATCAGGAACGCCCAAAGCCGATAAAGCGAAAGCCGATGATGTATAAGAACAGAAACAGTTGAAGAGTTTTATAACAAAACACATGAAAAGGATAAAACTTTTGCATTTCTTAAGTTTGCAGAAGTGGTATTGATGTTCATGTGTATGATTTTTTGCGTTTTCCAAAACGTTTTAAAAAAAATACCAAATAGTTGTGTTTTAGAATCAATTTTTCAACGTAGCCATTAACATGATTAAAGGCGTGATAACTTCTTAAGTAAAAAAAAAAACCAATATACTGTATTGATAGGGAAATTCTATTATTTCACTTGTAGCAAGACATCAAGTTCGGTGACACCATTTTTTCGTTTTATTTTCTTAAAGATTGTCATAAAACCTATCTTCTCATATATATCAAAATTCTATCTCATAGATTTCATTTTATTCACAAAAGTGTGCATTTTCACGAACAATCTATGTTAAATTGTTCAATTTTGCATAACTTGTGACTTGAAAAAAAGCAAGCTGACCCATACTTTTTATCATATATATAAAAAAAAAGAATAGTAATATATTTTTTTGGCAAGTATAAGAAACTTCTATCTATCATAGCAATAAAGATACTCGTAAATTGTAGGTATTCTTATGAGCAACAAGTGTACCTTTCAATAGCATACTTGTTCCATTACTGCTATGAATCACTAAACTCACTAAAGAACATTTATATTAATGATAGTATACTGCTGACATTCATCCGCAGGAACTTATTCTAAACAAATTAAATTTTAATAGCAAAATCTGTCCTTTTCCTAGATAAACATAAACATGAAAAAGCAATGACTCAATTTATGTTTGCTTTAAAATTTTCTTTCAAGTAAATTTTGCATTTAAGAAAAGAATGCTTCAATCAAAATAGTTTGTAAACAGCAGAAAATATCACATTTAATTGTAGGCACACTACCATACAAAACCCCTTACGGTGTAATACCACTAAATCATAGTACTTCACATCCGGTTGCATACGAAAAAGGATCGAAAAAAATAACCCCTCAAATAAAACTGTTGTTGGTAATTCATCCCTCATTTCATTGCAGTAAAAAAGTTTGAGGTCGTGAACATATTTCTTGGGTATTTCAAAGCACCTTTATTTTTTTTATTTTGAAAGGGTATTCTAAGAAAATTTTGGAAACTTGAGGTTGCATCGTGAATAATCTTGTACACAGGTAAAAAAAGAGGTGAACATTTGATTGTATAAATTCCAGTGATGGTTATTTCCTTATATGCAATGAAATGTTATGTGATTTTTTTTATAGTACTGGACAGGAGAACATTTACTAATAGTGGAAAATCAATGGTGGTATTACACCTAGAGTGTAAAACTTTTATAACGGTGGTTGTGAACAAGGTTAAGAATGAAAAGAACACCACCGCTAATCCGAAAAATAGAAATTATAACATTTTTCTTTTTAGACATTTGGAGGCTAATGAAATAACTACAATACAGCAAGGAACGTTTGATGACCTACCATCGATCAATTTAATGTATGTATCAAGTTGAATTATATTCTAATCAGAATCATAATCACAAACTCTTATAGTCGTTAAGAGTCAACGTATGTTTATTACTTTGAAAGAACAAAAACATTATTTCATCAAAACTTACCGTATACAGCATGCTTATAATTTGGATTTCCATTCGCGATTTCCGTTTGCATTCACCAGTGCCTCTAGAAACAAAACAGTTGGTAGTACTTACCAACTACGGTGTTGAATGGCATTAAGATTCAACATTATATGGTATGCTTATAACGGCTAAAGCAATCTATCTTTTTATACCTTGTGTGAAGTAGGTGGTAGGCGTTATAAAAACACATTTAAAGCTTGTCTACCGACAGACTGCGTTAATTTCTTATCTCAGTGTTAACATGTTAATATGTGTAATGCTAACATTTTAAAAAGTGTGTTGAAATTATATTGTTAGGCTTTCTATTTACTTCTAACTTAAGCACACACACTAGTAATAATGTATAAGACTCACGTTCAAAAAGTTTTAGGAAATAACACTCAAACTAATACAAATGTTCTAGTAGATATTTAAAAGTAACATTACTCGAATGAATCTCGCCGATTGCACTAAAGTATGACATTGGTGATGCATATGTATTACGAATCATTTGTTCGTTCAATGCGCATAATGTGCTGGAATATCTTTAATCTAAAAACATAATCCCATCCTCTGTTGGAAATCTTAATATGTTTTGTTTTTGAACATTGGACGATTTTATGATACAGTTATTTTACTAGAATACACAAGTTACCTGTAATTTAGATGTTATTAGTTGGTTCATAAAGGTAGATTCAAACATATCCGAATGTAAAAGTTGTAACCATGTTACTGTTTCAGGTATCATTTGTGTTATATTTTGTTAAAACGTTTTGGTGTCAAATGCTTTTAACTTATCATACATCATGTACATACAGTTGTCTATATCTTTTTTAAATTGACTTACATTTGAAATAAATTGTTTTCAAACTTTTAGCATTTAAAGACGCGCAACATTTGCGTTAAAATAACTTGCGAGTTGTGTATAATAGTTGGACTGAACTGAACAACTTGTTTTTGCAATAATAATCCTTTGCGTTTTTTTAATCTTTTGGATTCCACTACTGGACAAAACAACAACTGTCCATAAGAGTAACACTCGTTCTACGACTGATAATATTTGTCAAAGTTGTAACAGTTGTTAAACCAAAAAAGTAAAATTACAAAATTACTGAACTCCGGGGAAAATTAAAAAATGAAAGTGCCTAATACAGTGGCAAAATCAAAAGCTCAAACACATCAAACGAATGGATAACAACCGTCATATTACTGACTTGGTATAAATATCACTGTTGCAGATATTTTGTACATGTTCCAACTGTAAAATGGGTTTGTCTATAACATAAATTGACTGTAACAACGCTGAAAATAGTTGTCACAGTCATTTTAGGACTGATACAATTTTTTTAAAGTAACAACCGTCCAAACTCGAAACATGTTGCAACAGTCATATATAAACTGTTTAAACGCCGAAAAGTCTATCACAGTTATGGTAAGACTGCTGCAACCAGTTGAAAGTTGAAACAGCTGATTTACAACTGTCCCAACGCGAAAAACTTTGAAACAGTCATAAATGAACTGTTTAAACGTCGAACAGTTGTAACAGTTAAAATATGTTTGCTGAAACCATTATATAGGCATATCTAATTCAAAAGTGTCGCAACTTCCAAGACATTGATACAGTCATTAAGATTATCAATCGGATAAAAAATGTCTGACTGTCCGGGAAGGGTTAGATCATTTATAAAACAATTTCACCGTGTGTAATATGAGAGGGTTGTTACAAAAACACAACTGTCACACTTATTTAATTAACTGATTAAAATAGAAAGTGCTTGTGGAAAAAGTGAACTATTTGCCACTAACCATTTTGATGTTCGCCGATAATTTGGTTGATGAGGTATATTTATTTACGTATGTATTACTCCCCAAACAAAATTGAACCAGCACTAGATACCTGCATTTAACACAGGTGTTTTAAACGCATTTAATACTACATGTGAAAAAAATCGCACCTATCATATAAATCGAAAAAGGTTTCCAAAAATGTTTGTATCTAATAGTATATTTAACTGTCACAGTTATCAAAATGACAACTTTATGATTAGGTAAAAGATGTGAAATCATTCATGTATGCAAGGTGATCTCCTATACCCGTAGTGTTACGAATCACATTACTTCATCATGAGTCAATATACCATGATATACTGTAACCCATCTTGATATATTTAAAAAGAATTTTTAAATTCAAACCTATGATGAACATTAAACGCATGCTTTTCAGCTATGAAAAAAACAAAAATATTCTAAAACCTATTTTTAGTTCAATTCATTTTATTCTACCGTATCTTATTTTTAAATTCAATAGTTTAGTAAAATCAATATTGACTCCAATTATTTTATGTTTATTGTACTGAGTGGTCTATTTGAAGTTTAATTGACTCAATATATACCACTTCACATTGCATTATGGGGCAAATATTTTATAACTCGATTAAACTAACAACTAACAGGTGAGCTAAAAAAAAGAAATACTGTCACTTTTTATTGTATCAACATGTAAAATATTGGCATACAAAAAAGTACTCAATAATAAGGCCAGTACAAGAATATTAAGGAAAAAAAGAAATATTATCATTTTTTTTTTTTATTGTTATTGACAAAATTTTTGTAGCCGTAGACTGATTGAGCTCTTCATTTGTGTATAACTAGTCATCCGTTGAGACAAAAA